GCAATGCGGGGACGGTTGAAGACTTGATCTAGGATTTCTACCAAAAACCGAGGAAATAAGAAATTCAGCACCTGGATTTCTTACTTCCTTGGCTTTTTGGCCGGACCCAAAACACAGGAAATAAGAAATTCAGGGGCTGAATGTCTTATTTCCTGTGTTTTTGGTCGGGCCGACAACCACGGAAATAAGAGATTCAGCCCCTGAATTTCTTATTTGCTACGGTTTTGGCCCTAGCGTCCAGAAAGGAAATAAGAAATTCAGGGGTTGGGTTTCGTATTTCCTGGCAGGAGGGTTGTGCAGCAAATCGGCGAGAGCTTCGGAATTTGTTTGAAGGCAATGGGGGGAAGGTTGAAGACTTGATCTAGGATTTCTACGAAAAAAAAACAGGAAATAAGAAAATCAGCACCTGGATTTCTTATTTCCTTGGTTTTTTGGCCGGATCCAAAACACAGGAAATAAGAACTTCAGGGGCTGAATTTCCTATTTCCTCCAAAGGGCGGTTTATTCCCACCCGGGCTCTTCGTCCATGTTGAGCCCTGGACGGCGGCAGAGGCATGCAGAGGCGCACGACACGACCCCGATAAGAAATTCAGGGTACCCTAAACCTGGCGGGTATTACTTATGACCCTGAACCGCGCACCATCTACATAAGAAAGTCAGGGTACCCTGCCTCGGATACAAGAGTTTCTTATCCAACAACGTCACTGTACTACTACTACTACTACTACTACTACTACTCCTACTAGTCCACCTTCGGCTACTACTGTACTGTGCGGACTGCGACGGCTACTTCTTTCTAGAAGTACTCGCACATTGAAGACTCCATGAAATGTCAGACAACAAGTTCCTGTCAGGCCTGGGTTTTTGCCAACCCACAAGTTTTTCATGTAGCTACAGTTTAACCCCACCAAACACTTGCAAGGCACACACAGCAGTACAACACAAAGCAACGTTCGCTTATATTCCTGAGTAATGTATTCAAGGCCAGGCTCAACCTGCGTGGGCAGACGTCAGCTGGTACCGCGCCGCTGTAGTGACCGGTCACTTATGCACGGCTAGCAAGTGTCAAAGGCAGGAAGCACCGTAAATAACGTGTATTCCTGACTTTTATACAAATCCAGGTTTTGGGACGGGCCGCTTAAACTCGACATGTCCTGATCAACCGTATATCCTACTCCTTCAAGATTCTTCATCCTATCGCGCCAATCCACCCAACATCACCTAAATGGGAGGGACGCGCTGGCCTTCAGGGCAGCCAGCTCAACACAATAGAACAGGCACGATAAACACATAGTATTCATGACCTGATTCGGGTTGATCACTTGGCAAAGTGCTCAGGATTCGTAATATGTTATCTTCTATGAGTCCCTCATTTTTGCATGTCCACAACCCTCAATGACTTCAATGTTTTCGCATGTATGCCCGTCAAGGAGCCCAGGACTTTGAAGTTGCCCGTGGTTAATACGCTTGAATACGCCTGATACTGGTTCGAATACTACTTGTGTGGATGTTGACGCCCTGCCAGCTGCTGTGTTTTGGTTGCCACAATCTCGTGTGTGAAGATCGACATCTGGGTTTGTGGGGATGCTGTGACTGAAGCCTTGGTTTGATATGCAATCCCTTCACATCCCTATGGCCCTATGATTTGTACTGGTCGCGGAGACTGGACATTTGCGCTATGTAGCAACTGCACAAGAGTAACCCAGATGCTTACGGACAACTCATTTGTTCCCTATAACAAGCAGAAACTTGCTCAGAAAATGCCATGTTTTGAGCACTTTCTGAAACAAGGTCTTGGTCTAAACCTCAGAAACCCGACATGTGGAGAACGTCAACCGCGTCAGTGGGCAAGATTTGCGGTAAGGTAAAAGGTTTGAGAACTGTTTGGGTGGTGTCAGTCAGTGGCGGCAGGGGCTGCGAGCCCTTGCGATGGTGGGTGGTGGTGGTGGTGGTGGTGGTGGTGTTGTTGGTGAGGGTGGGGTGGGGTCTTGAACAATAACACAGAGAGTGCGTCCCCCGCTACGAGCTGAAGCCTTAAGTGTGTGGCCTGATGTAAAGCGCCTTTGTTTACAAACAAACCCCGTGCTTATAAACAAGACCGGCAGGGGCTCAAAATCAAAAGATAAGCTGAAACAGAATCTTAGAAGACACACACAGGACAAGTCTGTATGACTGTATGACATGACAGGTGACCTTCGGAACAGCACTCACTTCAGCCTCCTTTACTCGATGTACCATAGCCGCAAAGGGAAGCCGCTGGCATGACACCCAGCGGGGGCCCGGGCTCGGGCCCCTGCGCAGACCCTTTCCCAGCTGAGAGCATCAGCTTCTAGAAAACTTTGAAGTGGGGCCGATATTCATGGGGCCCTGGGGCGACCGATAACCCATACCGTCGCATTCTTGAATGTGCATAAAGGCTATCTAAGACTGGGGGAAAATGTGAAGTACAGTTCACTTATATACGCTGCAAGGTTAAATGGCAAGGGATTTACTGCGTTGGGTGTTTACGTTGAATTCTTGCAGCGTACAGTAATGCTTCGGGTGAAATCCTGCAGTTGAGAGCTTGTAAATAAGCAATGTTTAGGGTGCATGCACCAGGCTCCGGGGTAAGGAGGAGGGGTGGGGGAGGGGGGGAGGGGACCCATATGTCACCCACCCACCCACACACACACACATATATATATATATATGTATATGCATGCTGGCATTCATGTTTCCATACAAACATACATACACACAAATTTACATACATACACATACATACACATACATACAGACAGACTGACAGACAGACAGACATACCTCTTGTCCGCTGCATCATGACCCCTGTCGCCGTTGCGACAAGTTCGCAACAATCCTGCGCGATGCTATGAGAGCTCGTACCTGGAATCCAACCGATACAAGATGATACAAGCTGTTCTCCCAGTAAGCATAACGTTGTTCTGCACTTTTTACAGAGCAGTGCTCGAGCCGGTTCAAGTTTGCGAGAAGTCCGGCCCTTTCTGCTGTCAAGTGCGTGTCTTATTCATCTTATTCACTGATTTGTTTGTTTCCTGCTGGGACAAGAAAACACTTGCTGCAGAATCATTCAAGCAGCTCTGCGTGCCTGACGGCTGTGAAACTCCGTGGAGTATTGAGCGAACTCGATCCAGCGCAGACTCGTGGGGCACCTGCAGGGCCAAAGCGATTTGGCAAGTAGTGAGCAAGTGAAACTACACCTGCGAACTGTCTCGTCTCCGGCATGCCGTGTCAAAACATGATCTCCGAAACCAGGCTTCTCCGTTGCCGAGCTGTCTCGGCCTGCACGGAAACGAGGCTCTCCGAGAGCGTTGTGCCCTGCACCCACTGTTCAGAAGTCGGGAGACATCACCGGCTAGTGTCCGAACTCTCACCGTCACAGATAATGGTATCGGACGACTGCCAGCGACGAGGCTGCGGTCGCCTGGCAAACCATTTGTTGAAGATGCGGTGCTATGCACAGTGTTACTACTGGCACAACAGTGAGCATGTGTATCAAACTGTGTGTCAGAGGAACTTGATTGACTCGATGTAGTGCGCAAAACAAGAAACCGACCCGACACCCGGTTGCCAATCCAATCCTTTGCTTGGCTCATATCGCGTTTTTGTTCCGTTGTTCCGCTCCGATCACACCAAATTAAACCTTCAGCATCGAAACTGAAGGGCTGGATCTCTGAGCTTTGCTGCAATCCTTACCGAGCAAGCCAAACAGAACGGAGATGAACGGAGTCTTGAATGCCCCTGGACTGGTGACTCTGGGTTCGAGAAGGCCTGCTCTCAAGCCAAGATAAGCGGAGTATGTTTCCGCCATGGCACCGGTGTAACCTGTCACAGACATGGGATGCCCAGGCCGTGTCTCTCGCGAGCCGCAAATTTCAGGCCCTGGCTTTGGATCGGGGGACTGCCAGCAAGACGGATCCTGAGCCCCAGTGCCAGTGAGAAATGTTTGGAGGCGTTGGAGCGGCAGGCACACTCAGATGCTACCCTGTGGTCAAGGCTGTGCTGTGCTTTGTGAGCCGCGCACCTTGATTCATGCAGACGCGCATTTGCAGCCGGTGCAGCATGCGCACACAAATGATGGCTAGCCCTGTGAACACAGACTTGAGCCTACCGGAGAAAGCTGGGACGGCAGCAGAGTTGTACTCATCTCGATGACTTCCCTTTGCAAATTGCTCGGGGATGGGAGGCTTTGCAGCATGAATGGCACCAACCGAATTGCAACAAGCGACAGCATGCAAGCGAAGTTGCATGTGCCATGCCAAACCCTTGAGCGAGCTGTCAATAGATATTGATGCAATCATACAGTTCTCGGACATAGAAGTGTAGTAGCTGCGCGGTTTGCATATTATGCTTGCACCTCTCACTCTCATAATAAAGTATTTATTATGCAGATCCTTGTAGCCGACCCACGGGGGCGTCGACCCGTTGGGTCGCACATTCTGCAGGGCGTCGACAAATAGCTAATCAAAGACAGCGCTACATCACTGACACAGAGCTGCAACAACAGCAGTCTTCATCGGGCTTTACGCGTTTTCGAGCTTCCAGCCATCGCAGTCCGCCAGGCCCGGTCCTGCCAGAGTTCGTGTAAGACACAGTTAGTATGGTTGCGCTGCCAAGCTGTTGCAGATACTGTCGGGCCTTGCCGAATGGCTCGACATGGCCTGCTGGCATGGCTGTAAGCCCACACCCGCCTGTTCGACAAACTGCGTAAATCCTTAAAGCTCGCTGTGTAGCTCCAAAGCTCGCTACGTGAACAATCAAACCTGAGGCAGATTGAACATGTGCATGCCTCATGTTGCCAAAATGGCTGCGATTTCAGAGCAGACCGAAGGCTGTGTCGCTCTCCCCGCAGATTTTAAGAACTGAAACACATAAAACAGACCAGACTGGCACTTGCAGACAAGCACTTCGATTTTTTGCAGCAGCGTGATGTCCACTTCGTTGAAGACTCCCTCTATTCCATGCGCATCCTCTCGCAGCCTCTATGCGTTCTCTCTTCCAATGAGGCGCCAGAGCGGCCCACGGCTGGAGAGCCAGCGCACGTTCGTCCCGTCCGGAATCAGGCGTCCCTGCGCCTTGTAGTTCGTGTACTCCTTCCTGGTGAAGCGGGTGAATCCAAACTTGGAGGAGATGTGGACCTTCTGTCGACCGGCAAACTTGAACTTTGCGCGACGCAATGCTTCGACCGCAATTTGGATCTTCTCATCTTTGGTCCGCACGGAGATCAACACCTGACCGATGTCCACGCGTGCGGCTGTGCCATAGGGTTTTCCGAAAGCTCCACGCATTCCACTGGACAACCGATCTGCGCCAGCGCAAGAGAGAGTCTTGTTGATTCGTAGGACATTGAAGGGATGAGGCCGCATACGAATGTGAAAGAAATCTCTGCCGGCATTGGTGATCATATACTTGTTGACCGCAATGCGCGCAGCCTCCAGGGCCTCACTAGTCAGCTGCTGGTCTTCATCGCACACCAAGTGTGCAGAAGCAGGGTATTCGTCACAGGGCATCTTCTTCTTCCCAACATCGAAAATCCGGATCTTCGGGTCGGGCACACCTCGGCAGTATCGTGTTTTTGGGTAGGGCTTGTTCTTGTTGTACCGGTAGCATTTGGCCGGACGTCTGCCCATGGCAATCTGTGGATTTTGGGGAAGGGATCGCGGACACGCTGTGCTGCAGGAGACCTGGCAGGAGCCGGATAAAACATTGGAGGTGGCAAGACCAGACACACATGTCATAGACCAGCTAAGGCGTGCAGACAAGGAGTTGCATGATTTCATGGCTCGCTCAGACCACGCACGAGCCACCTCATTGTGAAACTTCGACATGGTAGGACAACCTCGGCACATGTGCACTTCTGCAGAATGCCTTCGCCCAATGCGGCTTGCTCCGCGCAACTGAACTTCAAAAGGTGAGACAACTCACTTACACTCTTACAATGTCTTAGAGCCTACACGAGGAGTGCGTACGATGCGCGCGCTGCGACATCCGTCTATATGTCTCTCGAGGCAGACAAAATCTTACGATGCCAGCTTGGCAAGCCAGCTGTGCCATCAAAAATTGTCATAAATTCATGGGCTGGAGCTTTTGGCTCACGATCCACACTGCATTGAGAAAGAGGTCCCCCAGGGTACCTCCGACTTCGGTCGCAAAGGGATATGGACAAACGGACAGATAGCATGCAGTAGATCCAACTAGGGGCACGTTCTGACCGAGGACCTGGTGATGATAACGTCGCCAGCGGCAGCCGTTCCTGCCGGCTCCAATCCAAACCTGCGATGTGCGAAGCATTTTCAGCATCTTCGAGATCTGGCAAAATGGTCAATCTGGGGACCCACTGGGCATGGGTATGCATGGCTCGGAGCCGGCAAGAGTTCACAGCCACACAAACTCCGGCATTTTGGAAAACGGCAGACTTAGCTGCAAACGAGTGCCGATGTGTTCGTAGTTCTTTTCTATTTTGTCAGGCTGCTAGATTTCTGAAAGGGAAGGAGCGTGACGGGATTGCAGCACCATTCGGGAGAGGTACCATGCCAGTTTTCCTTTTCACGAGGAAAGCTACGACCTGAGAGGATGGGGTGCAATTTCAACCGTTTGACTGTCGCGCAATAATTAGGTCACGATGCCTGGTTCTGCTGCGAATTGGTTTTCGTTCGCGGCTGCAAGTCTGTGCAGATCACTGGAGATCCAAGCCAAGGGGCAAGGGATGAAAAAGCCGCCTGCAAAATTCAATCGACATCTTCTGCAAGTAGGCCTTAAATTGAAAGCCTGCGGACATAGAAGGTGGCCCGTGGTAGCTTGGCCGCGGGAATACAAAAGTTACTAACGGGTTGTACGACGCGTGTTCAAAACGCCGATTGCTGCCAGCTTTCGAAGCTCAATAGAGGAGGAGGCGGAGGAGGGAGGAGGAGAAGGGGGGTTGATTTGGTCTTACTATATATGTCTTACTCATGTTCATGCATCGTTCATCGTGCACCACGCTGTACTTGCGAGATAGTTCACTGTAGTGACTCTTGTCCTTGTGTGCTGTTGGGTCGTGCATGGATCCGGTACTTCGCTAGTAAAGAGTCCAGCCGATCAAAGCTTGCTGCGTGGCTCGGCTTGCTTGTGAAGTCTCTTGAACCTTCGGAGGACATGCATTGTGAGTATAGCTGAGTATAGCAGAGGGACACGCGCAATGTACGTGCGCAACCTCACCGGTCTAGCTAATCGTGCTCACCATGAGCTCATCAGGTGATATCAGGTGCATGGAGAGTAATTAAAATGCAGCCAACCCAACCAACCAACCAAACAGCCAGCCAGCCAATCAACCAACCGGGTTCAAGATAAACACACCCCGGAACTGCATAAAGGCAAACGCGACAGCTGTGCGTTCAAAGATCTGGATTACTTGATGCGTGTCATTGGTCATTGGTTTCCAAGACAAAGTGGGTGTCTTCGTCACGATGTGCTCGTATGGTCCACTGAAACATGTTGATTTTGAACAGCTTGACAACCCGCGCCGGTGCCCTGAGAATGCAAACGTGCCTGAATCGCAAACAAAGATTTGGAAAGAACTCAGGGACGAGCAAAGAACTGCACCCCTGCGACTGTAAACGGATAGAAACCGACAGCAACCGTGCTGCCACATGAAGTCTCATTGTTATAGTGCTTGCATATGCAAGATCTACGGATGTTTACATACTACTCGCCACTCGCCAGGAGTGGCAAGCTCGCCGACAGTTTTGAGGACCATTTCAAAAAGTAGCCCATGAATCCATGAACGTCGAATCACGTTCCGGCGAATCCCGACGCACCAGCCGCACTCCGGCACGAGCCTCCGTGCTAGCCGAAACAACCATTGAAGCAGTTCTTCCTGTTTTATTGGGGAAAACGGAAGGGTGGGGTGCGATCGCGTGTACGACAAGCTCGAAGCTTGCAAGACCTCCTACGAGTCGCGAAGCAGTCAGCGCAGCTAAAGGGTGAGGCAACAGTGTTAAAGCAAGGCTGCTGCAGTCGCCTCGTTGGAAACTCCCGCTCGTGCAGCGGCTTCCCAGAACATGCTGCATGGACGGTTTGTGGCCGCTGCCCATAGAGCCCAGTTCTGGGCGTGATCGACAAAGCATAGACCTTGGATACAATTGTTTCGTCTGTAGTAGACGAGAGATCGGAGAAACTCCGAGTCCGACTGGAGCTGGAGCTGCAGTGGCGGCGTTGAAAGTCCTGGAGCGCTCGCAGACGAAAGCCGCTCTTTTTTCGAACCATCGCCATCGCCCTGACCGCGAATCCGGCCTTCTTGCAAGGCCCAGCTCCGCGGGCAGCACGAAACCCGAGGCCTTAGCTTGCACAGCGCGTGATCTCCTGCCAATACGACTTTTGTTTAGTAAGGAAGCCCATGACTCCCCAAAACCTGCTACACAAACTGAAGAGCCTGTCGAGTGGATTCGATTGCAACAGCTTTTCAGCATCTCCGAGACTAGCTGTCAACACACAAGTTGGAATGGCAGCCACAACCGGCTACCTTGTTTTTTGCAGTTCAAACCACAGCCGGCTTGTGAAAGAAAGTTCGGCACAAGTACAATGTTACAAGAAACGCAGTCTTTCAGGCTCTTTCAGATTGCAGATCCTCTCCGGCCGGCTCTCGCGACCCAGTAAAGGTTCTGGAGCCGCTCGTTCTTGCTGCTGTGGGGCATCGGGTTCGCCAGGGCTTTTCGAAAGTTTGTGTTCTTCGCTTGAGTGTTCGACAGGACTGCTTTGGCGCTACTCTCTTTTGGTCGCAGAAAACAGCACCTCAACAACATCTACACAACACTCAGTTATGGAAATTGGCCACAGGAAGTCATACCCGACATGAGACAATCGCTAATTAGACTTCAGAACACGGAACTACAGCAAATAACGCTTCCATCACCAGTGAGTCGGCTTCTCGTCTGTAGTTCACGCCCTGCCAAGGAATTCCTATGCACAATATGTCAGAGCATTCAAGACATTGCCCACACGAAGGTTTCGTGTCTTGGAGCTTCTTGACCTTGCAAGATGCGGTCCCCTTGGCAGCTCTAGCACAGCAGCAGGGCTCTGGGTGCGAGACCCGCTGCTTGGCACGCGGCCACGGTGTGCTCTGCGGTGTGCTCCGCGGTGTGCTCGTTGCCGGCCTGGTCGCTGCGAGATCTCTCCTTGCGCTCCGATGCGCTCCGTCGCCTCGACAGGTCGAGCATCGCCCCCCTGGGTCGCTGCATCCCAGGAGCCAAAAAACACCCTGCGACACAGCCACGGGCCACGGGATGGCAGCGCATTGGCAAATTCTGTCGTGTCTCCGGCACGAATCGGACAAGTCTTTGTCCCGCATTTCCATGCATTTCCTAGAGGATATATGTGCATGTATATATGCAATCATGGCGTGCATAGACACATAATGGTGGAGATCGGGTCCCTGTGACAGCGCGCTTTTTAGTGTTGCAGTAGCAGTTGCATATGCATTGCTATACTGTACATACTTGCATAAATGTCTATCTCTCTCTTGATTACTATATGCATATACATATAGCTAAATAAATAAACAAGTAAGTAACTATACATATATAGGTATATATATATATATCAGACGCATATTATATGTGAATATATGTAGACATATAATATCATACTCATATATGCTCATGAAAGTAGATATGCCCGCACACATGTAACAGACACAACATATTCAAGTCGATTTCCCGCCGCATACATACATATGTGCACAACTGTACACATATAGCTAGCCTAGATATGTATAGAAGCTTCCTACTGCGGAAACACAGGTGCCACAAGCTACCAGAACAGTTTTCATAAGAATGGGCAGACATTTACCACAAGAGTCAGCAGAGTACAGTATCTCGCACAAAGTCACATGGTATGGCAGGCGGTCAGAATCAGAATTCGTACGATAGACTGTCTTACGCAACATAGCATCATGTGAAAGGAAAAGCTATGTCTGGACAAACATACTTGTATAGGATAGGAATACCACTATGGTTTTCGGGTAAGTGTTTCTTCCCGATGCTTGCACACCCTCGTAACATACGTTTGACCGATACGTCGCAAGGCGTGCGATCTATCAATCGCTAAGTACAATACGAAATCAACGATCACAGGTTATATAGCTAATTCTAATAAAACAGAACATGATTCAAGAGCATATAACATGCTCTGAATCGCCTAATAGCATGGTGTATATATCAATGCTTGTTATTTATACATGTATTTATTTGTATTTGTTTGTTTAGCTAAAAATACTATGCACACAGACACACACACTGTGACATGACGGGAAACGGAAATCAATCACCAAAGCTAGTTGTCAACAAACACAGTATGTGTATACACTCAGTGTTTTTTTGATGAACAGAACAAGTAAATAAATAAATCAGTATATATATATATGTATGTATATACACACTCAAGCAAAAGATACCAGAAGGGTTTTCGGACAACTACTAGTTCTTCCGGAAACTTTCATTGCTACTGTTCGTGTAAGTACGAGCGATGCTTGGCGTGTGTGTGCGTGCTCTCTTTTGCTCCTGCCAAGTTCGCTCATGCTAGAACTTAGACTTGCAGGACAACCCCACTACCCACCGTAATTCACTTGTTTTACGTGTATGGCATTATTCTCGCATGCTTGCTCATTGGAAGTTGCCCAGGGATGCGTACTTATAGCATAATGATTTTGATATATATGTACATATATACATACCTACATATATATATGTATGTACATATAAATGTATGATGACGTCAAAACTGCATTGTAAGATGTTGGACTACACTCCATGTGTCGACGTGTCCTGGGAGTCTATTATATCCGCATGAAGGCATGAATAGAGTACTACTTTGAAATCAGTGATACAGCGTGCAGTTTCACATGTGCACAGCTCTTGTTACCCACCTGCCAATCTTTGGAAAATGATGCACATTTAGGCATATGCGCACGGGAAAGCGACCGGGGAATAGGCAAAGGAACCAAAAGAACCAACAAACAAAAGGTCAAAACATACAAGCAAAGAATGGTGCACGGTGTCCCCAGATTCCCCGAAGATCGTATTTCGAGATGATCGTGCTTTTGTTGGCCTTTGTTTTTCGTTTTATCTTTCTCTTTCTTAATCGCAAACTCCTCGCACGCAAGGAGAAGCGTGCTGGAAAGCGGCAACGTGACCGGGGAATGGGCAAGAGAACGATAAACAAACCCAGCGGGTTCACTAACTGGGTAGGTTTTTGTCGGTATTTACAGGGTTTGCTTCGTTGATGTTGAGAGTCAGGCAACGTTTTGAAGGTGTATTTTCAGGTTCAGCAGCTCAGCATTCAGTCTGAAGGTTTGTTTGTCGCTGCTGCGAAGTGGTTTAGAATTTACTTAATGCCATGCTATGTGATGCTATGTGAGGTGAGGTGGTGTGATGTGATGTCATATGGTGTCTTGTAAATGTTATGTGAAGTTTGTTGGCAGGACGTGTCCCTGTCCAAGCTGGAGTCTGGGTAGCACGGGATCATGTTCAAGAGAAGCAGAAGAACCTGCAAACCAAGCTCCACTTAGCCTTAAAGCCAAATTCCGAGCATCCACTGGGCTTTCAAGTCGCCGTGGGCTTTCAAAAGTCCAGTAGGGGGATTAAGCATGCTGCCTGACGGGGCATATGTCGCTTTGGCGTTGTGCTCTATTCTGGTGCTTATTGCCTACTGCCTCACGTGGCGAGGAGCAGCCCTCGCAGCCGGATCTTGCCGATTCGCCGTGGAGCAAGCGCGACAAGCAGTGGCACTTTGCTCAAGAAGCTTCTCTTCGACAGACTGCTCTGCGGCAGCAACCGGTTGTACGGCAGCAAGAGCCTGCGCAGAGTTCACCTGAGACCCGGTGGCAAGTGTTTTTGCGAGTCTCTGCAGAAAAGCAAAGACGCCTCAGTGACAGCTTCGAAGTTCCAAGCGATGCCCTAAGCGATGACATCGAAAGCATAGAAAGCCAGGAGTGCTCCTCAACCTGTTGCCAGCAGCCCTGTTTTCAGATATGCGGTTAGGGCTCCCAGACCATGCAAATATGGCCGCTGCCCGCAGCATGGCCGCACGCTGAAGCCTGTGGTGCACGAAAGTGGGCCACAAGCCGGCCACGTCTTGCTGAGATGTTGCCTGTGGTGGCAAAGAGAAAGCTTGGAGAGCAGTAAGCGCACATGCTGGTACTGCGAAAGATTCGCAGCAAACATGTCGCATTTGCCACAAAGCGTTCGAGATGCTGCCCATCGCGTCTGCAAAACGGTGCGGTGGCAGCTCAACAACTGCGGCAAGCCTTGAGTTTGCGCTTTTGGAACCAGAGAAAACCTCGAGCTTGCGCTCTGTTAAAAAGCGGTGCGGCAACGACGGAATCAGCCCCCCCCACCCCCCCTCCCCCCCCAAAAAAAAACAAGAGCCACCGAAAACGAGGCGCAAAATCGCGTAGCGCGATTTTGCGGCGGCATCTTCCTCATGCCATGATAGTCTACGGGGCGAGGTCTAAGACTACACAGTCCAAACTTCACAGATGCTTGCTAGGAAAACATGGCCTGCGCGAGGGATTCGACACTTTTCGCATGTGCATGAACATGACGGTTTGCACAGTCTGGTGCTGCTTCTCAGAGCACAAGCTGCAAACAGCAGCAAAACCACCCCAGTTAGTGAACCTGCTTGCTAAACAAACAAGAAACACATTTACGCGAGTCTCTGGCTACAGAGTGCAACATCTAGGATTACTAGGATATTTTGCTTGTGTTTTGTGCTTTTTGTGTGTTTGTGCGTGTGTGCGCTTTGTGCTTCTGGATTTTGTTGGTTTTTTGATTACTGGATGCTGTTTAATGTTGTTTCTGAGTTTTTTGAATGATGTGGGGGACTCTGCGCATTTGTTGATGTATTTTGTTTATTGTAATTGTTCTACGAGGCCTTTCACTATCTCCAGTTGACCGCATTTTGCGAAGTCGCACGCGTCCAAAACCTCAAAAAGTGCACTCTTCATTCCACTACTAAGTATATGTGTAGATCTTTAGCTATGGCTACAGTACTGTACTAGGTACAAGCATTCTGTGTACTTCGGCCTTAGTTTTGAATTTGGGCCATGCAGCCTTGACCAGCAAGTCAATCTTGTTTGCTCGCTTCGTGTGGCATTGCCCTCGTGAAACAGGTTACCCGTCTGCTTGTAAACCAATGATCTGCCCAAGGCACACTTCTGCTGGGGGAGCAGATGAAAAGGTCTTGCGGAAGGATGTCTGAAGCTTTCGCCGCTCTCCCATGGTCGATTTCAATTCGTCTGACATGCTTTCGGAGCCCTTACCATCCTGGCTGAGGCCTCTCTCGCTTCTCGCACCAGCTTGTTAGTTCCGTCTCCTCTGTGCAACCTTCGGCCGGTACTGTCTCACTGACGAGATGAAACGCGAAGGAAAGTACAAAAAACTTGGCAAGGCTGCAAGCTACGCTCAGCTTGCACGGCGAGCAAGAGAGCCCAGGGCAGCAAGCTCTTTTTTCTTTTGCCAGTTTGAATGCTTCGTAGAGATCAAAGTGCCCCGATGTCCCTTCGGGAACGGAAGAAGCACTGCCTGCTACCGCTACCTGCCCAGTTTCGCAGCGATGGCATCCAAACCAAACCATGCAAATCAAATAAATGTGAACACTCTGTTTTGTCCACAGCTTCTCAGGATCATCTCCTTTTCCTTTTGAATGAGCGCTTTGTCATCCGGGCTGAGACAGCACACTCCTCCCTCGACTCTTCCGAAGTGCAGCCGGCCTTCGGACATAGTCCTGCGCAAAGCAATGATCCAACAGTGAAGTGATGAACCACAAAGCAATGTTGCCTCTACTTCGACCACTACCATTTGAGGACTGCGGGTTCGGGACAGTGGTAAGTAGCTTGCAGGTGCAGCTCAGGTTCTGCATGCCTGATTCCTGTTTCAATTGCACCACAGCCGCGTCCGGTGGCCCTGGATACGACGGGCAAACCCTTAAATTCTTCTTGCCAAATCCAGCACAGATCAGCAAACACCCACACTGCCTGTCAGAGATTGCATGATCCGACAGGTTACGTTATGCAGACAGTGCGCCGGTTTTCCCCCATTCCCCAAAAAACCACCGCCTGCCGTGTGTCGCGAGCGCGCCAGTCCCTGAGAGCCAGAGCGAGGCAAGTCACTTGGAAACACGCTAAGCCGCTTGGATTGTCGCGATATGTCGCGATCTTGTCCGCCTCGTAAAACAGATGATAGCCTGGACTGTCTCGAACTTCGAGACTGAAGGTCGTCGGGTCGAGATCCTGCATGTGTGCATGACACAAAGACAGCCACTCAATTTGCAAGCAAGTGGACAAATTATTCGCAATCCTAGAACTTTTCGGACCCCATGATGCCGCCACACAGTACCGTAATTTTCTAGTCAGCTCCTTCGGCATGACCAGACAACTGTGCCGGAGGAAGCATTCGCCGAGTGATAGGATCAGCACTGTATCCCAAGTGTTCGTACGCTTCCGCCACCGAAGCCAAGCCGGGCATCAAGTCTTCGAGGCGGCGCCTCACAGCAGGGTTCCTTACTACTACTGTCGCAAAGACAGACTGATTCGACCCACGCTTCCGGCCTGTGATGAACCGGTCCTCTTCCAGCTTGCAACTGAATCCTCAGCTCTTGCAAAAGCCACACGTGTCGGTGAAATTCTCTTTACCGTATGACCTCACGCGAACGCGAACGGCCTGTGAAGGCGAGTAGACAGAATGGCTTTCCAGATCTTTCAAGCCAACAGCAATTACAAGTCAGCGCACATGTCAAAGAGTGTTCCAAGCATCTGATTCGCCCGAATATCCGCATCTTTTTTGAGACTCTCTCTGTAGACTTTGAGCGCCCCGAGGGCGTCAAACTTGTTGGACGAGACGCCTGGCAAGGGACTCAGGAAGGGATAGAATGAGAAGCCCGAATCCCATGGCCTGGATAGTGCGGCTCTGGCTTGTCAGGATCTGGCGGCATGCCGAACCTGGCAGTAGGGACGCCCAGCGACACCATCTCGGTGTCGGCTCCGACTAGCTCTGCCCAAGCTTTGAGCCATCACGCAGCGCTCTTCACACCAATACATCATATACACCGTAAGCACTGCTTGGACTCTGACCACAGGCTCATCGCAACAAAACTACACTGCGCTGAAAATATGAGTTTGGTGAACGGCATCAGATAGGGGGAAACTCCTCATTTTAATTGGCATGCTAGGACCGGCTTTTTGCATGGCTCCAGCTTGTCAAGGTGGCTGCCAAGCCGCACAAGTACGAATTACATAGAGGCTGTGCATATTGCACTAAGGACGGATTGTTGAAGGAAATACGTAGAAACCTCAAGATAAGCGGAGCGCCAGAGGACTGGCCCCTTTGCGATATCATCCAAACCTACAGTGACACGCCGACCGTTTTCATCAGGCTTCGTTCACAGTACAAGGTCATTATTGCTTGCAGATGTCTGGAAATCCTATGCCTATGCATTGTCACGAGGAGCTTGTCAACTCTTGTTTCGAAAGCATCACCAGACGTGAGAAATTTGGACAGCACCATAGACAGCGCAAAACAGCTTTGCAGGTTCTTGATGCATATATTAGTTAACAATGGCAGGGGCAACCTAACTCTGAGACCGTGAGCGGCATGCGGAACAGGTAGTGTTGAAAGTCAAGATCACTCTCTGCCACAGCGTACGCCGGGTAACCCCTATCCCCCTGAGGCGGGTAGCTGACCCTCCAAGCATAGACGGGCGGAGGTTGCTGACGAGGGGTAGCTGACGGGCGGCAGGGCCGACCGGACCCGACGCGCCGGGGGGGGGGGGGGTAGATAGATAGTAGAGAGTATCTGACCATAGACCGGAGGTTGCTGACGGGGAACGCTGGTAGCTGACGGGCGCGGGCTAGCTGACGGGCGGAGGTTGCTCACAGGCGGAGGCGGGTAGCTAACTGGCGGAGGTTGCTGGCGGGCTGAGCGGGCGGAGGTGGCTAGCTGATGGGCGGAGGCGGGTAGCTGACGGGCGGCAGGGCGGACCCAAGGCGGGGGGAGTGGGCCGGGGTGGGGGTAGATAGAAGATAGACAGAGAGAGAGAGAGAGAGAGAGAGAGAGAGAGAGATAGATAGATAGACAGTATAGATAGAGAGTATCTGACGGGGGCGGCAGGGCTGTCCCGAGGCGGGGGGGGTTGACCCAAGGCGGGGGTGGGCCGGGGTGGGGGTAGATAGATAGATAGATAATGATACATAAATAGATAGATAGATAGACAGATAGATAGATACATAGATAGATAGATGGATAGATAGATAGATACATAGTTTCCGACGGGCGGAAGCTGGTTTCTGGAGGGACACACATAGACGGGCGGAGGTTGCTGACAGGGGAAGGCTGGCAGCTGACAAGCGCGGGGTAGCTGACGGGCGGAGGTTGGTGACGGGCGGACCCGAGGCGAGGGGGGAAGGAAGAAAGATAGATGGATAGATAAATAAACAGATAAGTATAAATACATAGAGAGTATCTGACGGGCAGAGGCAAGTAGCTGACAGGTGGAGTTTGCTGCGGAGGCGGGTAGCTGATGGGCGGAGGTTGAGGTTAGGGGGTGGGGGGGGGGAGGGGGTAGGTCGATAGATAGATCGATAGATAGATAGATAGATAGATAGTATCTGACGGGCGGAAGCTGGTCTCTGGGACACGCATAGACGGAGGTCGCTGACGAGGGCGGAGGTTCTAACCAGTGGGTACCTGACGTAGATAAATAGTATCTGACGGGCGGAAACCTCTAACCTCTAATCAGTAAGTATCCGAAGAAGGTGAGAGTTTAGAGTAAGAGGCTAGCACTGCAGCTACTAGTATTGTCTATTGCTGTGCAGATGCTCAGTGTCCGGCAGTCCGGCAGCTTCAGTTTTCATTCTAGCACATCTCCAGATCTTTCGACAGCAAGGTTTCGTGCTGCACTCGTCACTGGGCCAGCTCACATGTTGTCAGCAGTCTCGGCTTTGCACATTCTGAAAGTCCTTTTGCATTTGCTCCTTGATTGGGACACGCACCGACAACGAGAAATGCTCGCACTTTGCACACAAAACGAATCATCATGTTAAAGAGACACAGAACCGAACGTGGTGCACCACACTCATATAGGCTGGGCGCGACATGTTTCATTAAGCGCTCAAGATCTTGAACGTGATCGCATGCTCCGGAGGACAGTTCGGGAAGAAGTTTGTCCAACATACCTTGCGTGTGGCCACAAACTAACGTAGCTGCTGTCGCGTGAACATTCAGTCGAACAGTAGAATGTCTGTCCGCAGTCGAGGTGCTGTAGATGGCATCCCTTCGAGACACCCACCGATATCTTCGCTTGGTTAGCAGGCCGCCAACGTACTCCCCCAGAGCCTGACAATCCTCTGCACTCCCGTACTCCAGCTCCAAACTATCAGCAGCTCCTGTCAGATACGCTTAGACAGGAGATCGAGACTTGCACTATGGTGACACCAGGAGACAAACAGGCAGGCAGGCAGGCAGGCAGGCAGACACACACACACACACAGACTTTTACGTTTACTTGCTCACTCACTCGCAATCCGTTGAAGCCGTTGTCGGAGTGTGTTCAATTGGTAGGGCTGTCAACCGAACGTCTCTGTTTTTGTGGGTGGGCAATCACTCAGATTCGCTCGCAGAAGATGCAGGCACCCCTGCCACCTGCAACTGATCTTGCAAACACGCAAACCTTGAGTGCAAAGACATACCATGCCCGCGCACATCCGCACTATTGCTTTCTTTGGCAAAGTGCCTCCCCCTCAACTCATGAAAGCCACGGAACGAATACGGGTTGCTGATTTGGCAGAGAAAGCGCAACTTGGAACGATCACTTGTTGCCCAAGTCGAGACAAAACGCTACCCTCATGTCTGACACCATGGACACTCCCTACCGGCTAGTGTAGATCTGGAAGGCCATCGACGGGGGACGTGCTCCAAGGCTCCAGGGTGTATATGAAATGCAAGGATGATGATCAATCAGATCAACAAACAGTGAGTCCTGCTAGATTTACGTTGCAGGTCACTTCGTAGATATGCGGATGTCTCTCATGCACTCAATGCATGCACTGAGCAGAAATCAAGAGCACTTGGTGCTTGCAAGAAGGTGCCTTTCAGGTCGGTGAAGCCGCGAACCATCCTTGAGACACTTTGCTGTGACTCTGGAAGGTCGGGCATCTGGACGGCCAGGAGGATGAGCGCTGAAATTAGCGAGCAAACAGCACTGAACAGCCAGGGCAACGTAATTGGGTCTCGCACTGCCAGGTGGCCCGAAATCACGGGACCCAGAAGACGGCCAATATTGAGCGCAAACTGCTGCATCGCGAAGACACTTCCACGGTTTGATGGGTTCGTAAATTTCGTCAATATGGTCCCCGAGCTGCCACCACGCAAGGACACGCCAACTCGTGACAAGCAAAGGAAGATTACGGTAGTCCAAACACCTGGGACAATCGCCATCAGCAGACTGAAGGCACCCCCGAACACAGATCCCAACACTGCAGTGTTCTTAAGGCCAACTCGTTGTTGAACGCGGCTGGTCCCCCAAATGCTCGTAGCCAATGTAGCAAGAGCAGCAAGCACGAACGTAAATCCAACATGGAGAGAGTCGAAGCCAAGCTTTGCGTCAAGTGTGATGGCCGTCATCGAAACTGCTGTGCCGAAGCTGATGCCTTGAAATACAGCAGAGAAGGCCAATACCTTTACACTTGGCGGAACATCGGCAGAGCTGCTGGATGAGGCCTCTACAGAGGCAGTCTTGGGTTTTTCCCTGTCCGCAACCCAGCTGGGTGACTCAGGCAGGTAAATATAGCACAGCCCGGCTGCTGCCAAGGACAACAAACCATCCACCAAAACAGGGATGCTGAGTCCAAATTTTGACAGTCCACCGCCTAGGCCTGGACCAAAAGTCATGGCCAAGCTTGGGACAGCTGATAGTTTGGACATGTAGTCGGGAAGCACGGCCGGAGAACACACATCACTGAGATATACCTGCGCCGAATTGCCAACCGCTGCCCAGACTCCAGAGAAAGCTCTCCAAGCAAGCAGTTCGTAGTAGTTTCCAGCACAGGCTTGTCCCAGATTTGCAATCCCAGCACCCACCAAGGAAGCAATCAGGACTTTTCTCCTTCCAACTTGATCTGACAGCTTTCCCAGAACTGGGGCGCAGAAAGCGGAGGTGAAGCTCCAGGAGGCATACAAGTAACCGATGGCCGCATTGCTTATGTTAAACGATCTGGCATAATACGGCAATGCAGGCGTTGAGATCGTAGCAGCTAGAGTGTCCATGAATATTGTGATAAACACCATCCATATGGCAGCTTGGGGAACAAGAAGGCCTGTCTCTGCATCATAGGTACCTTAGATTCCATGTTGGACTTGCGCGTGTTGACACTGAGAGATCCTTCCGTCGCAGCCGCTTAGTGCAATTGCTTCCCAGGAAGTTCGCACACACGACATGACGACATGCATGACAGCAAGACATCAAAGCAGCTGAAACTAACGGGGGCAGCTGTTTCTCCACTTTGCAATCACGTGCTAATGTGTATATACTTCTACCGCACAGCAATGCGCGGCATGTATCATCACTGCAACACTTTCTAGTCTTAGTACGCCTACTCTACGCCGATGCTCGTCAGCCATTCAAGACATCCGCAAGCTTCCTTTCGCCGAGATATCGCACAGCTCCAATTTTGTGTCTGCAATCATCCATGGCATGCACAGACATGTCGTATCGGCTATCGTAATGTGACTCTGCATTTTTGGCCAAGCTGCCCTCGGTCTTCGGCACCAGTGCGGACTCCATCGCAACAGGGAGTGCGTTTGTTTACGCCCCCAGCGACGTGGATATGACTGACGGCTCCAAGCTTTGTCTTGTGCCAGGGCCAGGCTAGTGCGGCTTGTGGGTACTGAATGGCTTTAAGTTGGACTTTTGCGAATGAGCCAGTGGCTCCGGTACATGCTGTTTCTCAACAAAGACTGCCTACAATCAGCTGGGCGACAAAATGCAAGTGCATGCGAGTGCCTTTGCAGACTCAAAATCATTCAAAATCTCAGCGTCTGCAATGCAACTCACGGCAACTTTCACTGCAGCAAGAAGTTGGCGAACTATTCCGATTGGTTTTGCGCTGGTCGAGATCACTCGTCTTCTTCTGCTGACCCTCTCGAGGCGTATCGACGCATCCAGGTCTCTATGTCTGGAACGCCGTCCTCCTCAAAGTTCAGTAGATGAAACACGGCTTGGTGCAGTTCGCCGCTCGTTCAAGCTGCCAGACTTCAAGACAGTTGTATGCCTCGTCGTCATCGTCATCATCCATGGCAGATGCCTTGCATGGAACCATATCACTTAAAGCAGCGTGCAGCCAAGCAAAAGCGGTACACTAGCTTGTCTAGCTGACCACAAGGCTTGTCCAAACGCTTCGCGAAATCTCTGACACGACCCTTTGCAACTCTACGTTTACTTCCACATGGACGAGGCCCCTGCTGGAGGCTGTTTACACTTCAAACTTCCGACCGTCAAAGCCAAGTGTCGAGAGGTGATGGACTTGGTGGTGGTGACTGGCGTTCAAGCGGTTCATCTCTGCTGAACGCGGACCTGAACGTGAAGTAACACGACTTCAAGCCTGCACGTACCACGAGCAGCCTCCCGGTACTTGGGCTGGAAACACCTGCAAGTGCTAGATAGAAGTCCGTGATTCGCTCCATCATTCTGCCGCCTGCCTTCTTCACTTTCAGCTATGCTGTCGGTGCTGGGCTCTTTCGTGCTCCTAGCTCTCATCGCACTCCCGCTAGCAACGTCGTCCGCGCCCCCGCCAACACTAACCAACGACACAATGGATCGAAAATAGCAGAGAGCCGCTTGCGGCAAAGGCTCCTGGGTGGTCATGGAATGATATGGAACGTCTTGGGAGCGCACGTTTGTCGGGTCGACAGTGCGGATCTTCGCAAGTCGCGAGCATGTTGGGCGGCAAAGAGCTCGGCTTTTCTACCGGCAGCTTTGTCCAAAGCAAACGAAGTGAGATGAAGTGGAGAAGGTTCGCGGAAGTAGCTTGAGTCGCTGCTGGATATGCAACTGTTTTTCTTATCTGTTCTGCACCTTTGTTGGCATGAGGTGTCTCATCGACTCCATTTTTTGTCCTATTCATCCGCACTACGGGCCTAGCTGACTAGCAGCTCCCAAGACAACCGAAACCGAGGGCCGCCTGCGTATCCATCTACGGACACTCTTACCTAGGGGTGTACCGACACATCTAGCTGACTACGGGAACTGATTGGTGAAATGGTGTGCTTTCCGTAGAAGACCAAGGAGTGAGTGACCTTGTGTTGGCAAAATGATCTAGTACAGCTTTTCTTTAGCTGCTTGCTGGGATAATGACAAAGTCGCAAAACGTCATATCATGTCGTGTTTGCGCATCCGTCGTGAATAAATACTTTGAACAGCAGTTTGCCAACATAGGTTTGGTGTGCTGACATGTGCCGGTCGCTTTCACTTCATGGGCTGCGCCGGCTAGCGGCTAGACTTGGCCGTTGGAAGAATTCCGCAGTTCCGAAGTTGCCAATATTGGCAAAATCCCAGGTGACCTCTGCAACGCCCAAGTTCACTGCTTCTCGCTTGCGCACCGCTGCTTAGATTCTCGTTTAAGGGGCTTGCAACGCTTCACATCCCAGGGGTTGCGCCCCCATGACGCGATACTTTGCACGCGGAATTGTTCTATCCTTCGAAGTTGGCTCCCAAAACAGTGTTCCACTGCAGTTCCACCACTATTGGCTTGCTAGTTACGCCCCGGGAACAAATGGATAAACGGATCTGGATAGTGATCATGTGAAGTTTCTACGGTAGGCGGTTCTGCGGCTCCTGCTGCGGCCAGGTGGGTATTTTCGACCAGAATCGTCTTCTCTTGGCAGTCCCGCTCGGGCCACGTTCACCAATTCATTGCAAAATCGAACGCTGCGTGCATGGCGGCAGCTTGGTTTTCTGTATTTCGGCACTGGAGTTTGTAGCCCCGCCGAGTCCCGTGCTCATTTGAGCCTTCAAGGAGCTCGAAGTCGACAAAGTCCTAGCGCGCCCAAACTTTTCGAGTTCGCCAGGAATCCTTTTAGAATGTAGCGACATTCGATGCGTTTGAACAGTTCATCTTTGTAGATGTATGACCAAGCAGGTATCGCCCCAAAGGAGCCACTGACCCACTTAATCACGCTGCGCTTGAGCGCTGCGAACTAGCCTGCGAAACATCAGTGCACCCTTCGAGAGGGTCTAAAGACTTGGACCCGTCGCTCTGGAAGGCGCTTTCTTCACTCGGTGCAATCGTCAGTGACTCGTCAGCATGGTCTTGAAAGAGGCTCTCACGAAACGACATCAAGCTCGACCCACCAATGCAAGTTTCGTTGCAGAGCACATTTACCGTGTCTATGCAGCTGCCACAACAGGACTCTCGAGACTACTCACTCGCAGTACTTTCCACGACCGTGCTACTTGTTGTGGAAGAGCATCATGCTACCTGCTAGACCTTCTGTACTACAAGACCGCCGATATCTTTCGGATCAAAAGGACGGCCCTGGAGGGACTTCCCCTTTTCGCAGCTCGGTCCTGGGCTCTCCAGAAGAGCAATCAGAATCCTCACGGGGCTTCTGCTCAATCTTCCTGGAAACTCCCCCGTGGAACGTGATTAGATGTCGCACGAAGCCTTGCACTTGCCCAGAACGTCCTGGAGGACGCAAGCATCTTCTCATCGCTGCGGAGGCAAACTGCCAACACAAGGAGTCCTCGGCAAGATCAGAATCCTGCAGGCCGTAGAAGATTGAATTTAGAATGGCTCATGAGGGAGGGGTGAATTGAAGTCTGCCCCGGTTGGCCTGGTAGCCCATGGCTTCCCATCGTGCGTCTATCCAGCGAGTCAGCATTTCCGACTGCGAAGCATTTTGCAAGACTGAAGGTTTGATGCACAAACTCTTGTGGTTGTCAAGGTGCCTGGGTCACTCCTTCCAGCTCGCACATCTCATCAAACCTCGGGTCAATTCGCAGGCCCTTTGGCAGCGCTTCTGCACCCTGGACAACAAGCTCGGGACATCTTTTGAACTTCAGGAGGGAGTTCTACCTCACCAGCACTTTCAACAGCATCGCGATTACTGGTTTAGTCGTTGCTGTTGCTGGCCATTGATGCCCTTGTTTGGGGAGCATTTCGGGGAATTTGTGACGGTTAGCTGGGATTCGCTTCGCTGTGAACTGCGAAAGCAGGTCGACACGCCCCTGTTGCATCGACAACAGGTCTCGACAACAGGCTTGTCTTGTCTCATGGCTTGGTGCAATCAGAATTTCCATCACCTTTCGATCTTTGGCGGGATACGGAATTTGTGTCGTAGACTTCCAGAATAGCCTTAAGAACTTGCCCTGTTTCTGCAGTTCATGCAGAACATCAGACTTGCACGGATGCTCCATCTTGGGCCTGCATGCGATTCGCATCATCTGCTTGCAGTGTTGCGATTGCCTTGATTTCTATACCTGCAAAAGAGGATACCGAATTTCTTGTGTCGAAAAGTATCGGTTTCGTGTTGAGTCTAGGTAGGTTTTCCGTCTTAGTGTTAACGTGCGGCCTCGTGTTAACACAAATCAGATTCGCTTAGCACACAGTCTTTTCACATGGTCTCCAGCAGCAAACTTCATGCCTATGTTATCCTATATCGTATTTAATTCCTGTTGCACGTTGCCGGATTCGCATTGTAGGTTTTGGAGCACTGAAACTTGTCGTGGTAGAGGAGCCCTGCTCCTTGGTCTTCTGCAAGGTGACCAGGTGACCATATCGGGCCGTTGGGCACCAAGGCTTTCAAGTGTTTTTCCGCATCAAACTGGCAGCCTGGAGACAAACTATCACTTTTGAGAGTCTACATGGGTAGCTCTCTAAATTAGGGTCCCTGTTGAGTCCCCAACATAGTGCGGCACTCTTACAAAAAGCACCCCAAAAAGGATCCTAATTTAGAGAACTACCCATGTAGTGATACGATCTTCTTCTACTCAAGCCGAAGTGCTTGTTTTGGCGTCCGTGCAACAACCAAATGCCCTATACTATACAATATTCTACGATACAAAACTATACTATAAACTCCATACTTGGCGTTGAAAATAGCCCTCAGCCTCAGAGCACAGACTTTCATTTGGCCACTGCGCTGCGTGGGTTTGGGCTGTGGGAGCTGTGTTGGTAGCTTTTGAAGGGCTTTCGAAATAACAGACACTCGGGTTGTGGGAATTTGGAGCTGATTTTGAGCTTTTGGAACTAGGTCTGGGGCTCATGAAAACTTTGCACGCTTTGAAGATTCTGGGCTTGCTCTTACTGCGCTCCCCGAGGAGCTACGAGCTACACACCCGGTTGTCCAGCCTACTGCGGAGGTTTCTGGGGTGTGGAAACTTCGACTCCAGTGTGTATGCTTCATGTCAGAAGGCCTTGGAGCCTCAGAAACAGGACGTGCCAGCCCCTGGGAAAGTTTTGGATTCGGAAAACCTGTCATGAAGAGCCCCAATGCCCAACCAAATAAATGTGGGGCTGCTGGCTATAGCTAAAGCTGATGAGCACTGCTGTTTGTCTGGAGACTCTGAAAGCTGGCACCGACTGATGCCGAATCGGGCAAGCACCTTGCGATGTGCCCGGACAACGCGCCAACTATCCACAAATGAATATTCCAGCGATTCCACGCACAGATGTGACGACAGGGTCGTTCGATTTGCACTTCATGTGCCTGTCGTGAACAAATTCAAGTGGTCCTTCGTTGAAAGAAATCACGTCAACGTGGCTCCCAGTAACGCATACCGTTATCAGTGCAGGCCGTGCAAGCCCTACCTAGTTGTAGGTGGGACACTATGCGCATATGTTCGTCGAGATCCAGCGAGTCCCGTTCTGCGGCGCACTGTGCACATGAAGGAGCTGGGGGAAAACACTGCAGGCTGAGTATCTCATACGACGAGCAGGACCACCGACAGCTAGTGCCGAAAAAGGACTTCTTGAAGGCCACAGGAGGTTGAAGCAGTGCGACTCATGGCAACCGCGCATGCCACACAACATGCAAGTGCAGAGGCAAGTGGTGAACAGCTTGATACTGATGTGCCAAGCCTGCAAAGGCACCAGGTCGTCAGCGGCCCTCGGAAGCGTGAGTGTGCACTCCAATGCGGAAGTCGCAAACAGCCTGGCACTGCCACCGGCTCAGGACCACGCGCACCAAAGTGCAGAGTAAGCACGAACCACGCCTAATGCGGGTTGTGGCCGCCGAAATCTTCGCCAAATATGGAAGCGAGCTACGGAGCAGGTACAGTAATTAGACAGCAACGGAGTTATCAGAAGCTTCATGCTGATCCCGGACACTCAGAGAAAGCCAGTCGACAGCGACCACCAAGAAAGTTTGGTCAGAAGCACTCGGCGCCACCACTACGCATCGCCGACAATTAATAGCCTTTCGGTAACTCGTGTCAGTTCTTCCCACAAGCATCCACAAGCTATAACCAGAGTTTGCAGCTTCCTCAGGTCTCAAAGCTTGCGACTCCCCGCCAAATGGTTGCCTTCCTGCGTTTTGTAACGGAACCTGTCTGCTTTGCGAGGCCCTTGCAGTTGTTGGGAGGGTGTGCCGGCAGTGAAGGCTTTTGGGAAGGCTGCATAGTCGCTCTTCTGACCCCCGACTCATCGACTCTGGATCACCATCGGCAAGGTTATGCAAGGTTACGCCCCCCTGGCGTACAGAAGGGCCAGAGGGGTCGGCCGTGAAGCAACCTCGCTCCTCACAAACGCAAGCGAGCGTCAACCAAAGCAATTATTGTGTGAAGGGCCTGTTTTCAGTCTCCTTCACGACAGCACTACATATGCCCCTTTCCCTTCCAGCAAGCCGCCAGAGCCTGAGCACAGTTCCGCGCAATTTGCCCCATACATCCGAGCTGACAGCAAGTCGGGGAGGCAGTAACTATGTATGCTGCTGATGCTCGGTCACGCATTGTTGCTGTCACAAGATGTAACAGGATCAGCATCACCCGATGCAGTCGCGGCCCCCTGTTCAGATGACATGTAAAGTGTGAGATGCAGCTTGAGACCGTGTCGTCGTTGCGAAGGTTCTGCGGCTGATGCTCGACCCACTTCCGTGCTGTACTTCAAGGTAGTATCAGTTGCCATATAAGTTTGGGCCGACAGGCCTGCGTGAACAGAAAAGAATCGCCGCTGGCGCGGGTGCTACTTTACAGAGGTAACGGAGTGCAGGAAATCTTGAGTCCACTAGCCTGGCTGGCGGAGCAATGCACAGGAATGAATCGGAATGAATGAAAGCAAAAACAAGTATACAGCTGTGCTACCAGTACTCAGGGGCGGTGTTCCGGGCTGCGGGCGACTCCTGTTTGAGTGAACAGTCCAAACTTCAAATAAAGTTAAAAGTGCATGGGGCCATGGCCATGCTAGTGTTTTGACATAGGCTCTGCTATGCACTCACTACCAGTACTCGCTCGCTCGCTCGCTCGCTCGCACACTCACACACTCTATCTGAATTTCCCTCACAAACTCTGCCTCCCTCCCTCGCGCGTGGACGCAGGCAGGCAAACAGGCGGACAGCCAGGCAGGCAGGCGGGCCGGCACCCACGCTAATTTTGTTGCAAGCCTTGCTGATTGTGAGGCAGAATGCAAGAGGATCTCGTCATCTGCACGCACTTGCAAGGCACACAATCTCAGGAATCTCTTCGACGAGGTAGACGTGTACTTGCCCCTTGAGGGCGATAACTCATGTCAGCATCTCCAGGCCTGCCAAGAACATGCAATTTGTGCTGCGCTGCAAGCTCAAATGCCCTCATTCGCAGCCTTTGAAAGAAAGAGGGCTCACAGTGACGTAGAACAGGAAGAGACAAGGATGTTCGTGGCTCCTGCATGGGATCGGCTGCTGCGGCTGTGCTCTGCAGTGCGAGTGAAGGGCGTACAGGGGGTAGGGAAATTGGGCGCCCAGTCTCTAACGAAGGGCCGCCTGCGTGAAAGCAATGATTTCAATTATATGCCGCGACGTGTGATGTCATGTCAGCGATGAGGCGACCTTGCTTGTTGCCACAGGCGAACTGTCGCATCCCTGAAGGATCATCCTCCTCATGATGGATGAACTCGTGGAAACTGTGGAGATTTGAGAAGAATGGATTCGATGTCGAGCTTCTCGATTCTCGTACTCGTCTACCGGGAAACACTCTGAAAGTTGTCCTGCTGAGTCCTGCGAGAGGCATTGGATAGCGGGTGGAGAAGAGTGTGCGAAGTTGGATTCTGGGCGACAACGCATTCGCATTATACACACTATCAACACAACCCAACCCGAGACTATACACCTCCAGCCCCAGCACCCGGTCTGCGCCTCTCGCATCTGCCGTCCAAAAACGCAACGAACTGCATCCGAGAATGTGCTAACGTGCCTCTTGAATTTTCGACTCTTAACCTCTGGTGGGGGTAGCTGAGGTCCACTCGGCAATTCATTTTTCCCTCTTCGTGCCTTTCGGCCTAGAAACGCAGAATAATACCCAATCGGACGTTGAAGGTTCCAGTGTGCATTTTCTAGTATGGCATGGCCCGGGTGGTGGTCCATCGTCGAACCACAAATGCGATCGACCGCGGGTGTCCACTTATTTAATTAATTTAAGGATGGGGGAACTAAACCTTACCAAAACTAGACCGGCCCTAATGCAAGCCGCCGGCGCCAATTGCCACCCCCCCCCCCGCTCTCACAAACAGAATTCCGAAAACGGAGCATGGCGTGACCCTCCGCGCCCTTCCAATGGCTGGCTTCCAGGATGATGGCCCGAGCGGCACTGTAATAGAAGCAGATTTCCAGACCCAGCTCTGGCCTTCGCTTTGCGCTTTGCGACCGCGTGCTTGGAGTTCAGAGGAGGCAAACGCCTTGGATCAGTTCTTCGTGCTTGTAACGAACCCAAACTACTGCTGCAACCCTCACGCGGTCATAGCTCAAAAACATCAAGGACCGTGCAGGGTCATCTCTGACTGAGAAGATTTCGGCACCTTCAGCGCCGCCAGCATCGCCTCCTCTTCCGACTCCTTGACCTGCCCGCTGTCGATATGTCGACACTCCCGACATGGAAAGCCTACGCACGCCTGGCGGTGATGTCGATGACGATGTCTGTGGATGTGATGATGCTCCATAATCACAGCGTCAGATCTGTGTGCGTGCCTTCTCACACTCTTCTCGGGATGCCGAGCTGAAAGTTCATGCAACACATCCAGTGCAGATTTGTAGCCCTTGGGTTCCTCAATTCGGCCAAGCTGGTTTCCCTGGGATGCCTGTCTCGACTCCCGCATCACCCAGCTGGCGGTAAGCAGGGTGGAACCTTGTCGTGATGTGAGAATGCAGCTTTCCCCGGGCTCGCTGGTGCGAGGTTCTTCCTTGGCATCCTCTGTCTGTGCCACATCCGATGCTTCTGCACAGTCTTGTCTCTCGGAAGTCACCGTCGGACCAGCTGATCCTGCCTGCCAGCAGACATGCTCTTGACAGTTCATTTCCTTCGAATACTGGTAGGTCCTATAAGTTGACATGACTTCAGCGAAGCTGCCCGGTTGGCCTCGTTGGAATCAAGCCTGCACATCGTGTCACATGAACCTACTTGCCCGCTTCAGGGTCACGGGATAAGTTTTGTACTTTTAAAAGGGTTCTTGTGAGTGTGGTTGGTCGTTTTTTCTTGCTGTCTGCACTTGTATGGTGCCTACTTTGCGTTGCGACGTCCTACTATTCCCGCGATGCCGCGTCCTCCGGAAAGCGCGATTCATTGCAACAAGGCCAGTACATCGGGGAAGCCCGTTAAAGGTGGTATGCCATACATTGACGTGGAAAAGCAGTGTGGCCATGGCGTCCTGACATTGAACTCACATGACAAGTGTGGAAGCGTTGCGGGTACCTGTGCAACGTTGAAGCCCACTTATGAATGGGGGAACGATTGTGGGATGATGCCCTGAAAAATGCGGGAAACTTTGTCTTAAACCCCTCATTTGGCCATGACAGTGGATCAAATAGTTTCTTAACCAAGGGTCGACCCCAGGGGTGATAAACGCGCCCCCTCATTAAGCGATGGATGAAAGTAGCATGCGCACTAGACATAGCAGAGAAATACGGTAGTCAAGCGACGCCAGTTGATGACATTCTTTCAGACCCGGCCCCCCACATCAGGTGATGACGATTGATCCCATTTCTCAAGCCGGCCCCCTCATCAGGCAATGGTGGTTGACCCCATTTCTTGAACCTGCCGCCTAATCAGGCGATGGCGGTTGATTCTCTTCCTTCAGCCCGTCTGCTCGTTAGGCGATAGCAGTTGATGCAATGTCCTAACCTCTCAAAATGCAAGCGATAGCGGTTGATCGCATCGCGTGCCCGCTCCCTCATTGGACTTTCATACTGAAGTTGTCAATCAGTCCAGTGATTTGTCTGCAACACTTCTGCCTTGAGCTTTGATCTGCGTGATGGATACAAACATCTTCTTGAGCATCCTGACAACTAGCACCTGGGACGATGGGCTTTCATGCGTGGCTCTGCAAGCTACTCAAAAGAAACAAGTGCTGAGCCGATCCAAGATACCCGTCTGAGCTTCCGGAGGCTGCTTTGCATTGAGCTCATTGGTGCAATCAGTGCAATCGCTCTTTGCGATTATTGGCCTTGAGTCTCAATGCGAGGCACGGCAGTGCCAAGTTGTTGTGGCTGCGCAGGTGCCTGAGACACTGCTTCGCTTCGATGGCATCGAAGCGCTCAGGGCCGTGCCACGTCTGCCTGCGCAGTATGCTGGACTGATCTTGACTGCATCTTTACAGCTCGCATCAATCTGCGACCATGCCTAAACGTCACTTCGCGGTTCCAGGTCTTGTCAAGAATCCTTCCACGACAGTCGCATCGCGAGGCAGGGTTTAAGAATGTCTTCACTTCGATTGTTGCCACTGACCATTGTGGCCTGTAGTACCGACATTTTTTCCACATGACTTGGTGTTGGCAGTGCTTTTGTGACTTAGCATCGGAAGCGTATCTCTCTGCTTCTCCTTCGCCGGCAAGTGTGCAGGCCTAAGGCTGGACGCTTGGACACTCTGGCCGGCGGGCTGAAGGAAAGCATGCTGCGCGAGTTGCCCTCTTGCCAACGTTCGCTGGCACAAAGCTGGCATAAGCATACTCAAATCTAAACAGTGCAAAAACACCTTGAAACTACCGGCCGACGCTGCCGCCTCATGTAGCCGCACCATGTCAACATTCTGCCCCGTCAATGTGCTTGGCCAATGGAGAGGACGAAGGTTGAGTTGCGTCTTTGCCAGCGTCTGTAGCCGGCCTGGCATCGAGTCCAATTCACCGAACAGGCCAGAGCTATCAAAAGCAATAGCCAAACGACAGCAGCTGAAGTGATTGACGAAGGTTCTTGATCAGGCCGCAACTCTCGCAAAACGAGTCCCGAGGCTTCTCCGGCAACGAGAAGGGAGCACCACCAAAGCGGACCCTGCAACAGCAAAGAACCAATTCCATTCCGACCATTCCTGGGCAGTGGTGGTGGGGGCTCTACGGCAGCACGTTGGAGAGCACGAAGCGCCAGCAACAACAGAAAGAGAGTAACCCACTTCCGCTGAACAGCCAAACTGAAAGCCTCTAAGGCAACAAGGACTGCATAAAACCAAGTTTTCCCAGGCCGCCAGGGACTTTCAACACTCCCGTCACGAGTGCGAGTGGCGACACGGTCGAGGCCGTCAAGCTGTGGGAGCATCATTCGATTGTGGCTGTCTTCTGTCCGCGACCTGTCCAGCATCTTCAAGATGCCGCAGCAACAGCTGCATCGGTGTGGAGTCGAAAATCGCGAGTCAATTGCCCAGCGGAGAGCTCTGTCCAAGAGTCCCAGGGCCATCACCAAACTGTGAAGAGTGAATAGAACTAACGCTGGCTTCCGCGAGTAGCTCAGAAGTGCTAAAGGGCATGCAAGAAGGGCAAGCAACAAATGCAATGGGCCGTGTCGCGGATTGCAGAAACTCAGTCTGCAATGCCATGCCCTGTGAGCTAGCTCCATCGCCAAGCCGAGTGGAGCTGTAACCAAGCAGCCAAGCATGAGAGCTGCCTCCTTGCAACAGTCGGCCGGTCTGTACCAAAGAAGAAGCTGCAAAAGGGGCAGAAGTGCCACAAGGCACACAGGCAGGAAGTAGGCGAGGGGAAGGTCCCCATAGATCCACCGGCCACCGAGCAAAAGCACCGTAGCCAGGAGCTCTGCAACATGCCGGGCCAATCTCCAGGTGTCTGCCGTGTAGAATCGAGAGCCCACAGGATTCTGTGGGGCGTTACGAGTAGGTGGCAAGGATGCCAGGAGGACAGCCAGTGTGTGAAACAAGAAAACTGCAAGAAGCAGAGCCGCCATATTGGCCGAAATCCACTGCAGGCTAAGGAAAGTGTCGGCTGGACATCTGATCTGCGCAGCATGCGGCTGTCTGCAAAAGTGAACCAGTAGCGTGCCCAAAGCAATAAAGCGCAAAGCCTCACTGAGAGTAAGGAGGAGCTGATGACCGAAGCATTTGGTCAATTGCCTTGCCAAGACCCGCCAGCCAGGAGCGCAGTCCTGACCGCCGTACCTTAGCTCTAGGACCAGGACTCTAGGAGTCTCAGCCCATCAGCGCCCTAAGCGAAACCCCGCTTGAAGCTTAGCCAAGGCCGAGGCACGGAGTGCGACAAACCGGACAAGCAGGAGCCTCATCGCTGGCGCGCGTGCCGGCCGTTCGATGGATCCATGCTTCGACGCAGGAAGCGTGGACGCCACCCATGGAGCCTCGACAGAGACACGGCCGAACCAAGGGCTCGCTCGTTCCCGCGTCGCGACAGATCCAGCATTCCAGCAGCTCTGTCCTGGCAAGAAAGCACCAAGCTAGGAAGGATTCCTACGAAGGATGCCAGGGCTGCTACGGCTGCTCGTCAAAGCTGCTGTGCAGGAATTGAAACCCACCGGACCCGGTCCTGGATTCCCACATCTGTCCCAATCCAGATCACATCAGACACACCCCTGCTTCGGTTTGAGCCCAGCTGTCTGCGAGAAATCGTGTCAAGGATAAAGGTCTCCAGACTGGCTGAAGCATGAAGAAGAGAGGGCTTCATTGAGAAGTGGAGCCAAGCTGTGCCGAGCACATTGTCACAGCGTCACTGCTTCGTTAACAGACCCGGCCTCTTGATGCTCTTCATCGGATACAGTGCCATGCATGTTTTGGACATTTGCAGTGACCTCATTCATCTCACATCTTCTAGATTCTAGATGCCATCGTCTGACCTCGCCCCCAATGCAGACATTGGACAGATAGTATGACGTGCTGAATGAGGAATTCATGGCAAGTCTTCGGAGGTCTTAGACTGCACGAGCCCGAAGCGAAGTGAGAAACTGAAGACCAACAGCAACGCGCCAGCCCAAACCCAGCTCATACCCTAAGCAATTTGTCAGCACGAGGACAGCCGGCATAAGACAACAACAACCAATTTTGTACCCCCAAGAAAAGCCAAAGCTGGTGGCACGCCGAAACTAGGCCATCCTTTCCTTGTTTGAAAGGCGGGAAGGCCTGTGCATGCTGGCCGCTGCATCGGATCGACGTGCGGGGTTTTCGACCAGGAATGCTTATAGGGCCCTGGTGCTTGTGCCGCCGCCCCTGCTTCTTATTATGGTCAAGTCTGTCATTTAGCAGCTCCTCTCTGCTTGCTAGCTTCTCGTTTCTGAATTTTGACACTGACGCAGAGACTGCAGTGTTGAGGCGCAGGCTCTATCTCCTGCTGGACAGTCAGCTGACGCCTAGCATCGCACTCGCAGAAATGAGCTCCTGGCCTGGCCGACTACGATCCTGACCTCCTGTCTTGTATGCCGGAGGGCGAGAAGCGCCCATCGAAAAGAACCTGCCAATTGGCCGAGTCAAGGCTTCCAAGGCAGTGGAAGAGAAGTGCAAACTTGAAGAGACGTACTTCGCCCCGAATAATGGCCCGAATACGAACCACCACTCAAGCCGCCAGCCTTCGCCTCTGTCCATGGCTCCCGCAAGTGCTCCCGCATGCTGCTTTACCGGATGAAACAGCCTCCTCTGTGTTTCTTGAGTTAAGCACTCTGCCTGGGCAGGCTTCGATGCCTGTTAAAAACAGGCTGAGGGAGACCCGGATACATCTCGGCTGTTTACTTTCCACATCCCTGTCTGCAAAGCATGGGAAAACTGCGCTAGCGGTGATAACAGCAAATGGACGAGCCAGATTCGGACGACGCCGGCTTCTCCATTTCTGCGAATCCCCGCAACCGGCAAAGCCAATCTAAAGTGCCCAGAAGACGAACTGAAGTGCTTGGGCTTGGGATGTTAGTAGTTAGTCCATGCTCCTGTTAATGTTGCATTCGTGCGTATTCTTTCGGGGACACAGAGGCCAGCAAGAAAAAGTACTCTCCAATCGAGAGCGAGCACTGCAGTCAGTATAACGTTATGTGTCTGGGTTTGTTGCTCGAGAAGCGGCGGCGGCTGCATGCATCCTGCCAGCTGCTGGTGCTGTCGCACCTAAGCATTCTTCTACAAAGATGCGTGCAACGGCGGGAATTCTGGGAGCATGATGCTTTGACGCCTTGGCGCGCCCCTTTGGTAGAAACAAAAGGACGACAAAGGCGAACGACCAACACGCGAGGGAGTGTGGCACAAACCCTGTGTGATCCAACGGGAAGTGTGCAGCCTGACACCCGCATACGCAGGCGTAAGCAAACCCTGACATCCCAGCTGCGTGGACGGGAATCGCCAGCCACAGCTTCGGGCGACACAATCGCATCACGAAGCTCCCGATTCCCGCATGCGTGTAGCGATTCACGACTGAACTCTTATGTTCGCAAGGTACTTCCCGGACCAATCAGTCTGGCGGGTCTGGCGTGCATTGCAGTCTTCGGGCTCATCCATCCATCTCTACTGATCTTTTCATGTTCTCGTGTAGGCAAAGCCGGCCCGAACAACCATCGTACATCCACCTCTTTGAAACTGACGGGAGTTGAAGTGCCATCCAGGAGGACAAAAACTAGAAGACATGTGGCCC